CCTGATCGTGCTACGTTACACTAAATCAGGATCATTAATTGGTCAATGATCACGTGGGGGTGAAAATTTGATGGCGATACTGGGGTAGTCGACAACACACACTATAGATCGGAAGTGTCGGCCAGATCTCGGTATGCCCTAAACAGAATAGATTATTTTTTATACAGTATATCGGTCGATCGATATATACAAAGTACTGTTACGTATTTTTTTTTCTTGTTTGGGAGAGCGATGTTACCCAAACTATTTTGGGTCAAACTATGTGATGAATAGCATCACACAGGTTTTGGTAATGACAATAAAGCATAAATACCTAATGTGATACTATTTATCACGTAAATTTGGCCAAAATAGTTTGAGTAACATCGCTATTTGGTCAATAAGTAGTATAATGCTTTTTTTTCTTCCATTCTTTGATTGCATAAAACATGTAACAATGATTGGTGAGTTTATGTAAGTATAAGTTACGTACATACTGTAGTATAAAGCAAACTTTCTCACGAAACTTAGCATTAGTATTTTAAAAGTGATCCTCTCAATTTTAATTTTTAGTCTTAAAACCTTCGACGTCTTTATTATAAGTATGTGTATCCTTTTTTTTCATAATTTTACAAAAACTGAGCCGGCCGGACATAGTTAAGTGACAAATAGGTGTTAGTATTTTACGTACATACGTACGTATATATACTTATATTGTGTGTATATAATTCATATTTTGTCTAGAAGACGAATCTCCATCTTAAAAAGAGTCTCACAAAATTTTACTGACATTTTTTATGATAAAATTTCTAGAAGCACATAATATTTGTCTCCATTAAAAAAGACAACAAATTTTGCAAAGAAACTGGTAATGACAAATTACAAATGAATGACCAAGAAAACTAACATTATTTAATCATGAATTATATTGTATGAATGACCAAGAAAACTAACATTATTTAATCATGAATTATATTGTATTAAGTGCTCAAGAACAGCATCATAAAGGTAGGTGTTAGGTGATAGTTTACCTGATATGACGAAGACTACACGTCTTTAAAATTTTTTAAGAAACTGCACAGACTACTTTTAATGAAGTCGAAAACTCATCAGAACTCAAAAGCAAACCTGAAATCTTAGTTGAATATGAAAGCTTAGTTGAATTTGAAACCTT